CAAGCAAACCTCAATCAGGATTGAAATTGGGGCATCAGAAATGGCTCTTGATATTATCCCACTTTTCTTGGTCAAATGATCAAATCCCAATCGTTGATCCAGGCGCCTCCAGTTCGATATCTTCAATTTGGGTGAAACTGTGGTATACCCCCAGATGGTCATTTAGATGGGGAAATTCCACTAAGAATTGTTCAGACAAAACACAATTTCTCCCGATATGTATATTATATATGGTACCGCCCCCAAAGATCTACCATCTTTTGGGTTAACTTCGGGCAGTAGGTTATATATATATATATCATATATATATATATGTATATATCATATATATAATATATATCATATATATCATATATATCATATATATCATATATATCATATATATCAAATATATATATATATATCATATATATCACATATATATATATCATATATATATATATATCATATATATCATATATATTTCATATATATATATCATATATATATATATATCATATATATCATATATATCATATATATATCATATATATCATATATATCATATATATCATATATATATATATATATCATATATATCATATATATCATATATATATATATATATATCATATATATCATATATATCATATATATCATATATATCATATATATCATATATATCATATATATCATATATATCATATATATCATATATATCATATATATCATATATATATATATATCATATATATCATATATATATATATCATATATATCATTTATATGATATATATATATATATAATATATCATATATATCATATATATAATATATATGATATATATGATATATATATATATATATATCATATATATATCATATATATATATATTTCATATATATCATATATATATATATATATCATATATATCATATATATCATATATATCATATATATCATATATATCATATATATCATATATATCATATATATCATATATCATATCCATGAATATCCCATGATATCTCCATGTTTTTCTTGGCGAAGTCCCCATTTTCGTTGCTGATTCCCAGATCCCCAGGGCGTGGCGAACCCGGGATATCTCCATGTTTTTCTTGGCGAAGTCCCCATTTTCGTTGCTGATTCCCAGATCCCCAGGGCGTGGCGAACCCGGGCGTTCCACGTGAGATTGCCATCCCGCACGACCTCGTGGGTGGACTCATAGGCGCGAGATCCAGGCAGCCAGGCATTTTAAAGGGGAAAAACACATCAATCCATAGGAAAACCATAGGAAAACCATAGGAAAATGGTGGTTTACTGGAACTTAATGGGATTTAATAGGATTTAATGGGATCTAATGGGATTTACCCTCTGGTAAATTAACAGTTGGACCCTGAAAAATAAGCCATTTTGAGTGGAAACCAGTCTTCCAACCCCGATGATTGCCAGGGTCTATATGTTAATTTACCGGAGGGTAAAATTTGGGATTATATGATGAACGTTGGGGAATATATGGGAATATGTTTTTTATATATATATATATATAATTGATGATGATTTTAATTATATGATTAATGTGTTTAAATAATGTTAAATACCCATTAAAACCATCAATCAGTATTTTCATGGGATTGTATGATTAATGTTAGTGTTTGTAAATTGAAGTTACTAACATGATTCATACCAAATGGGGATTTAAGGCATGGATCCCCCAAACCATGGTTGTTTCAATAGTCTAATGACTTGGATGACTTGGATGATTTGGGGGTACCCCCCATTTTAGGAAACCTCCAAATACTAAAAAAATGTTGTAAAAATGGAGGATTTTTCTAGATTTTTGGGTCTAGATCTGAACATGGTTCGGATTTCAGCCTGACATCAATGGCAGGGCCCATGATTTTGGAGGGGTATATAGTGATCAATGTACCTTGTCAAGCACGATCCTGTGATGTTGGGAGGTGGCATATTTTTTTTGGAACCCCCCAAGGGGCTAATGTTGCTAGAGAACTATTTTGGCAAACCCCTACTTGGTGGATTAGGTGAGGTTCTTCTAGCCATAAACGGGGAAACAGACCGTCCAGCTGAGCATTATTTTTTTTTTGCAGGGTCTCTGAGATCAGCCCTGTTTGTTGACACACTATGCATATTTTCTTGGTGATTGATCTCCATGCTGTTGCTTGTCCCTTCGTTTTTGCGTTCTGGTTATCACGTGCTATCACCATTTGTCAGCGCTAAGTGTTAACTGCATTTTTGTCAAAGGCCGAATCTTTTGATCGGCCGGCCCCACAAAACAGTTCTATCCGAACAAAAACAAGTGCATGTATATGGCATGTTGATGCTTTGTTTGGTAAACAACAGAATATGTTTGATGATATTTTCTTCAACTTTAGGTTCATTCAACATCATTCAACATCATTCAACATCATTCAACATCATTCAACATCATTTACACATCATTTACACATTTTACAAAAGGATTTTCCGTGGGAAACCGTTTGGAAAATTTGCTGTGGGAACTTCACCTGACTTGGAGGTCTCCACGGTCTCCACCGGGCCCGTAGATTTTTTTTTGGAATCGGGTGAAATGGTATATGGATGTGGGTCAAAATGGAAGACCGATGTGGGACCACAGATGTGAATGTCTAGTTTAGTATTAACCATCCATAATTTTGGGGTACCTAATTTTGACCCATACCCATATGATGATGATGATGATGATGATGGTTGAACATGCCATCTTTGATTGGTTGAATCCCGACATCTCAATCTCCATTTTGCTTGGCAAAAACCCCATGTCTGCCGTGCTTTTCAACATTTTGGTTCAATGGGTTGCGGCAAGCCGCGCGTAACAACTTGCTGTTGGCCAGTTGGTGCTTGATCATTTGAAGGCCGCGGGAGCCAGTTGCTGAGTTGAAACACCTGAAATCGGTGGGAATGTTGGGAAATTAAGTTGGCGGTTTAATGTGGTTTCAGGTGGTTTAATCAGTTTAATCATGTTTAAACAAGATCATTTGATACGGGTTTGACATAGTTATGTTGAAGGTATGTTGAAGGTATGTCACGGGAAATCCATCGTATCATACAGCGCCCTGTGTCCAGTTCCGAAGCTCGGTCTGGTCCGAAGCCGGGATCATTCGCGGCAAAATGGTAGACCCCCCCAAAAATACTTCCGATGTATATACATACTTACATTATCTTACATTTATTTTATGATTTTTATGTGTATATAGAGAAATTCACACATGATATGGATCGCTTCTATTTTTCGAAAAACACTTTACATGTGTACACATGCAAATGAACAGACATACTTGAATAGGAATATGAATGCACATACTTCTATTTCATTCTTGTTCTACGTACATGTAAACACAGATATACGACAATGCATTCAATTCTGAGGCTAGGGAACTTGCATTCAGCACGTAGAAACGAACCAGTTAAGTGGGATCCTCCAAGTATGATGTGAATCCTGGGGACCCCATCCCGGCTTGACTTGACATCGTCGTTGATAGAAAACTGTCCTGGATAGATATGGATTGATGGCAAACCTTCAAAAAGTAATCCTGAATCGCTTCAAAGACATATAGATATTTCATGATATTTCCAATATATTCCATATTCCCATTGTATTTCCTTTAATTTTCCCAGTATTATCCCATATTGTTTCCATTTGATTTGTTCACCACAACTGCACCCCGATGTATCTACACTTCTCCGGAATCCCGGAACAAATCCAACTATATCCCCATAAAATCTCCATGACATCTCCAATAGATAATATATATATATACGTATATATATATATATACAGTATATGTAATGTGGTATATGTAATGTGGGATTCGCCCAATGCCATTGCCACCATCCCATCAACCATCTGGGGGTCATTTAATAACTATAATCCATTATAGAACTGTAGGTATTTACTAATTACATCATGGATACCCTCTGGTCATGTAACGTAGCTAACTGGAAAGATCCACCATTTTCAATAGATAAATCATGATGCCAATCATCTGCACATGCGCCATTTTCCATAGCTATGTTCAATAGCCAGCGGACATCTCCAACTTAATGGCGGCAAATACAATCGATCAGCATAGATAGCCCAACTAACTGCATCATGTATGTATGTATATATATATATACACATACAATTATAGTTAGTATTCCACTATATATATATATAGGTAGGATAGATCTAATAGTTCGTGTTACAATATAACTAATACATAATGTATATCTAAAAATATGATTGACAAATAGTTAATATTCCCCATATGCACATTGCTATTTTTCAGATGACCACTCTAATATGTAGTATTCCAATAGTTTTTCCATACAATAGTTGTGATATTTAGTATTCTAACGATAGTTGAGATAGTTTGTATTTTCCAATATACAGTAATCCAACTAATTCAACATTAGTATTCCAATAACTACATAATATAGATCTAGCAGTCAATGTTCTGACATAGGGAATCTATCATATACGGTATACATTTCTATAGATTACTTATATTGGAACATTAACTGTTGATCTACATATACTGTTAATTGGTTCCAATACAACTAATCTACTTATAACTGGTTCCAATATAGCAATTATGCTTCATAGTTGGTATTTTCCAACATCATTTTTGATAGTTTGTGTTTCAATTTTTACCATGATTGTCCTATCATTATATATATATTATATCTCTGATAATATATCCTGATTGGTGGTTTCACACATGTTTTTTTCCATTTCATATATGGGATGTCATCCTTCCCATTGACGAACTCATATTTTTCAAGATAGTTATTGCACCACCAGATAGGGGATGTTGTCAATAATGGCCATAGAAATAGTGGATTTCCCCATTAATAGCATGGTGGATCTTTCCAGTTCGTTATGTAACAAATTACCAGAGGCTAATCATTATTAACCCATATAAACCACTTGTAGTTAACTAGTTCGATATATCAGATATATCACCTATAAATTACCAGCTAAATGGGGAATTCCATCAGGATGAAGGGCTTCCTGCGCCTCGCGATCTCCGGATTGCCCCTGGTGGCCGCGGACTGTCCCAGCTCGCCGAGCGCGGTGCATGCCAGCTGCAAGGCGTTGCGCGGTGATTTCGATAATAAGATAGATGCATCATAGACAGATAGATATGAAGAATTTTGTATGTATAAACATATATATATATATGTATGTGCAAATATATATATATATATATATATATTAATATTATATATAATACAGTTTTTTGTCACATCCATCATTTTCGATCGCGCAAACTCGAAAGTTGCTGCAGGTGTCAGTGACAGCCAATGCGCCTTGCGCACAAGTCATGGCTGAGATGAAAGCGCGTGTGGATGGGCAGTCAACAGGATCGGAAGACGCCGAGGGAACCGTTGGTAGGAAAGGACCCCCAGAAAAAGGATGGGTAAGTGGCTTCTCATCCATATATCACCCACATTTCCCATGTATGATAGGAGATATTCTATATATAACAGGGCTTATAACTCACTTTACTAAGTGGGGTGAACCACCAAGTAGGGGCACCCCTCCCCCCCATGAACCGCAGTTTTTCACGCGGCAAGGGGTCCAAATGATGGGAGATGATGGATTGAGCAGCCCATGAGTCATGTTCTTTTGGAGTTTTGGGCTGAAAAGAACAGATCTGCAAAGACAAAAAAGGTGCGAGGTCACTGCAGAATTTGGAAGAGCCAGGGAACAAACTTTGGGTACGCTGGAGTTTAGAAGCAAGCCACTCAATACAGCCGCGAGTCAGAATTTTGAGCACCAAACCACCAGGAATCTGTGCCGTTTTTTTGGGTTGTATCCATCCATTTATATTAACGTTGATTCGAATCCCACAATTCTATTGGCCTTTTCTATCACAAGTCCTATCCGATAGCACCCTCCAAAGTTCCCCAAAAATCAGCCTAAGTCCACCCAAATCCCACGGTTCAAAACCTATTCACCCTGAAAATTCCATAGAATTTGGGGTAAAAACCGGTCTATCCCATGTCTGGACACCAACTGAGCCAGGACTTTGGCACGACCCTCACAACAACGGCACCTACTCCATGCTTGATGGAGCACAGGACACCTTGGACTTTCAGCGAATCACCGGGAATAAGAAGTGCCTCCGTGGCGATGTCAACGGGTGGATGGATGGGGTGGGGTGTGTTTATATGTCTAGAAACAAACACACACACACACACGCACATATATATATATATATATATAGATATATTATCATAAAATTATAAGTATATCATTATATATATATGTACTGGTATATACATAATCATAATATATATATATAATATGTTATATCTAATATCTTACCAGTATCTTTCATTCTTATCTATCATCTATCTCTAGTCGCACGATGTGGGTTTCTTAAGTCGTGGGGATCCCCAAGTCACCATAGGTTTTCAATCCTGAGTCATGGTCATCCATGACTTGGATGATTAGGGGGTACCCCCATGACTTAGGAACCCCCCATATCACCGCAAAGCTGAGACTTTTAAACTTTGAACTGCCGTGTTTTTTTTTTGGGGGGGACCCTATTTTTAGACAAGCCTGAATGAATTTGTTAGTTTTGTTATCGCTACCAATTTCCTCCTCTAATGTGGCCCTCTTTCGATTTTGATTTTGGTAGGTCCGCGTCTTAAAAAAAAAACTGGTGGTTGGAAGCGGAGGAATAGATGGTGAAGGGAGCTGTGCGCTTTTTGCCATCAAAATATCGAAGAGATCCTGTCTCAGCTGTCCAAACTGGTGATCTTCCGCTTTCCAGCATAGTCAAAGAAAGCCGCCACCACGGGCGTTCCATGACGATCTACTATGCCAACTCTGGACCAACAACCGCTGGCTGAGTGCCAAAAGGGGGCTTACTTACCTCGAAAATTTGCTATTGATTTGCTATTGAACTGCGTTATTTCAATCAACCAGCAATTGTCTAAAATCTTTAAGTATCTTTGAGATTCTTTGAGTACCATTTAATATCAAATTTAATACTTTCGACAATTTCAACCTGCAAGCAGTGAATATCCGACACTGGGATTTGGACATTTTAGAAGGGGACAGAGGACATTTTCCAGGTTCATGAGTGCCGCAGTCCTCAAATGTCCTAAAAGGTACACCGACAAGCTGCGCTTTGACTTCAAAGACGTCGGAAACCAATGCGAGATCTCCGGCTGCAGTGCCAGCCAAGTCTTCTCCATTGCTGACTTCTCCACAAACTACTGCAACCTCCGCATGCGCCCTGGCAGAAAAGTTGCCGGGACATGCCGGGACGTTCCCATTGATGGGGGATTATGATCACCCACTTATGGTGATTTTTTACAGCACAGTGGCTGACTCCATGGTTTACTGAGATTATATACTATTAGCGATGATGTTTTTTTTCTCAGCATTCTCACCAATTTTATACTCATTCTCAGTCATATAATATATATATAAGGTAATACAATTCTACTCAGCCTTTTATATCAACTCATCGTTTGGGAGGTGAGTTTCTACGTATGATACGGTCCATGGCTTCTCGGCCCAGCTTCTCAGCCCAGGGATTCCCGTCTGGCATTTCCCGCATCCTGCTATCCATCCGTTGATAGATGAAATGGGACCCCCTATCTTTTTGAGAATCAGTAGAAAAATATAGAAAAATGATGGATAATGATGGTAGATAGCAAGACTCTGCATGTTCTTGTGAAAGTGACATCATTGACTGGCATGTGTTGTACACACATTCATCATCCCACGACATTCTGTGAAGTTGGAGTTGGGGTACTCAAGAAATTGTCTCCGACAACGCCGTGTCGAGGTTGTACTGCAGTAGCCAGGACGGTTGCCATCCAGCGCCTCGGCAGAGGTTCGTCTGGAAATTTGGGGGATTTAAGGGGCAAAAATGGTAGTTTAGTGTGATAAGAATGGTAGTAAAATGGGAAAAGAGTGGAATGAAAATTTGATGATAGTCCGATAGTAGTAGGATAACAAGGGCATAATCATTGGTGGATAGTTTGATAATAGTGGGATAGTAGTAGGATAATAGGGGCATAATGATGAGATAATATAATATAATAATATATAATATATACGTGTATTATATATACACATACATACGATTTGATGATGGTGGGATAATCATGGGGTAGTAATGGGATAGTAATGGACTATTAGTGGAATATGGCCAGCTGGGAAATCCGGTGACGGGACAGTATAATAACCCCGGGCCTTTCATTTTAGCTTGGCTTGTCCCTTAGCACTACCAATGCATTAACGGCCCAGAAAACGATACGAGTTAAAAAAACGATAACGAACTTATACATGTACATGTTCATGAACCCTGAAGATGGCAGCCTGCACAGGCCTCCAAAACGATAGCAACACGATAACAAGAATGACAACGAAATATGATGAACACGCGAGGGTTTGGGCGGATACCCACCTGACCGGTTTGAACATATCACATTTCGAACATGAAAGGAACATAATGCAACATGAAAGGAACATGACGGGAAATGAATACAAAATGAAATCAACATGAAAGGAACATGAACGCTAAATTAAAGGAACATGAAAAGGAACAGATGACATTTGTTGACTTTCGACCAAGGATGCTTTCACACCCACAGAAAGCTGGAAAAACACATTTCTAGTACAGAGCCCACCAGCTGAGAAAATGATACGAGTACAAAAAAAACGATAACATGATTTGGGGACATTCAAAAAGACACCGGGTTTTTATAAAATCCCGGTTGCCCATGGAGATTTTAATGGGACATGCCCCACATTTTAAATCAACCAGGGTTTAGTCTCATCAGGGATTGGCATTACACCAAATCGGGTCCATTGATTTTCTTTGTGCAACTTGAGGTGAAGTTTGACTTCAACGCGAAAGAGACTGACGTGAAGCCGTGTCTTGGTTGCATGATGTTCAATTTTGCATGTGTTTTATCGTGAAAATCGATGCAAGAGGAGGAATATCATTTGGGAATTTGACATAGCCATGGACAATTACCCATTTGTGGATGATTTACCTATGAAACATTGCCATTGTCCATGGTTGTGTCAGGCTATGTCAGATGACCAAAGGGTAATGTTACCCTCTGGTAAACTATCATAGCTATTGAAAATCACAAGTTTTAATGGGTAAATCCACTATAAATGGCCATTTTCAATGGCTATGTTAATTTACCAGAGGGTATGTAAACATGACGACTTTGGTGGCTCCGTTGGTGCCACCAACGTTGAAACCCCGTCCCACCCCGGGCATGGCGAGAAAGCCATGGCGTTTCCTGGCGAGGTCCCTTGGTGCTGGAAAGAATCCTTCGGATTGTTTGAAGGTCGCCGAGGTCGGGGTCATGCCGAAAAAAGCACCAACGTTCGGCACAATCCAAGACGTTCGCCACTGGTGAAATACGTAGTAAGTGGATGTAAGTGGATGTAAGTTGGTTGCACGGCCCAGAAATCACCACGAAAGTTGCGGCAAACCCACTTAATTACACCGCATTTGAAAGTGTGGCAATCCAACAATGAACCATGCCAATATTTTGACCATTTTAGGTTTGTGTAAAGCTGTAGTTTTCTTTAGTCGTTTATCGTTGGCTTCATTATACTACCGGCTTCAAGGATTATTGGCTTAACCATGTTTATCTTAAAACCATTTACTACGGAAAAAATACATCAAGTTTTGATGGTTGAACATGTTGAACCCCCATATCAAGTCATCTTAATATAGGGTTTTTACCCAACCATCCCCTGATGTCAGGTGTCGCAAGACTTCTTGGCACCGACACAATGCCCACCCGCGGGCTTTGACACGGTGCAGGAAGTAGGGTGGGGTGGGGGAAACGAGGTAGTGCCAAGCGTACCGTGGCCACAAAAAGGGTAGTTCGTGCTGTCCTTCAGAGGCACATAAACAAAAAGGGTAGGCAATCTCTGACCACAAACGACAGCGGACTGCCGATAGCCGTTGGCTTGCACAAAGGAGATAAGCCATCATATATAGGCAAAAAGGCCCAAGGCCAGCAACACCTTCTAAGAAGGGAAACTGCGAAGTGAACTGACCAGCGATGTATTGCTTTCTAGCCATCCTTCCATAAAATGAGGCCGATAGCATGGGGTTTATCAAGTTTATTATATTACCATCAACAGTAACAGTAACTTAAGGGAACCCCTTTGGACCATGTTTTTCCCCTTGGTGACCCGGGTGGCCCCTTGGTTCACCCCCGACAAACCCCAGACATCACCCGAAAATTTTCCCGAGGACTTCGACCTGGAGAAGTTCATTGAGAAGCGCTGGTACATTCAACAGCAGCACCTTGGTGGCCACAACCATTTTGGCTGGTCATTTTGCTATGGGTCAAAACTGGGTACCCCAATGATTAGAGGGTTAATACTAAACAGAGACTTAAATCTGTGGTCATCCAGGTCTTTAATTTTGACCCACATCCATTTAGCAAGAAAAGATGGTGATGGATTTTTAGACGGTAGCCAGAAAAAATCACTGGAAATCATCTAAGATTCTTGGCTTTTTAGCACCGTTTGTCTTGGTCAATTGCACTTGTTTGTCTTGGTCAAATTTGTTCTTGGTATTTCCATGTATTTCCTACTTCAAACATCTTAAAACCACAAACTTGGTCAGCTAAGTAACTAGCTGCCAACTAGCTCCACTGTGAAATCACCACATAAATCACGGTGCTTCCTCTCAAAACCGCTGATTTTCTGGTGGCTAAATCACCATTTACCTTTACCATCCCCCGAACGAACATTTTGACCTCGAGCAATTCTTAGAGGAAAGTAGTCTTCCATTCCCGCCTATTTGGTACGGTCTATCACCGTCGAATCACCTTTTCTGTTGGCTATGTAAATCGATGTAAATCGCAACTGGTTGGTGATTTAGGCAAGAAAAACTGGCATCCACACAGTCCAAACATGTGAGCTGTGCATGGGTATGTCAACCAATAATTGGGCTGGTGGCAATCCCGAAACATCCTGATCACATTTCACGTCTTTTTTCTTTGGGGATGGGACAGGTTACAGCCAAACATCTTGATCCGGATGTTCGAAGAAGGAATTCCATGGATCCCAATTTAGTTCAAATCTGAGTTCCATGGATAGTTCAAATTTAGTGAACCATGGAATTCCATGAGTAGTGTGAACCATTTCCTTTTGCTGCCGTGCGGTTTTAAACAATGGCCATCTAGCGAGAGAAGGGTTGGAGACTTGGCCAGTTGAATGGCTTAGCGCCAGATTATCATTGTTCTTAGCAAGATCCGCACAACATGATTCAATAATATATAATTTCATTGCCATATTCTTGGCAAGATCTTATTCAGTCATGGAACATCTAATAATATCATGTAATATCTAAGATTAGTTTTGGTATTGAATATCTCATGAATCAGCCAAGACATATCCTGTGGGAATTTTCAGTTGGGCCCCGCAGGGTGGGCCAGTCATTCCATGCGTCCCAGGATGGCGGTGAATTACCTGCCCGCGAGCCAGAACCGCTGCGTTTCTCGGCGACATTCTGCGGTCACGATGATCAGATGGGGAGATTATGGGAGATTATGGATATAACTAGCCAGCATATCCTCTGGTAATTTAACATAGCTATTGAAAATGGCCATTTTATAGTGGATTTTCCCATTAAAAATGGTGATTTTCCATTGCTATGTTAGTTTACCAGAGGGTAATATGATATTTGGGCGTGTCTGAAAATGGTGAACATGGGGTATCCCGGGTATCCCTCCCAATGTATCCAAATTTCCAATGGGGAACATATTTGAGTGGATGGAATGAGGTCGCCGAGGTTTGGAAAAAAACCATTTTGCGCTGTCTTGGGGGTTGACTACACATAATTACACATATATGTTTGTTAAAAGTCAGAGGAATCTTGATTGAAATGGGACAGCATGCACGCAGCGATGGGAAAAAATCCAACTGGATGCTTCCTTCCGAAGACATCCGAAAACATTCCAAATATGCCAGACAGAATCCTGAAAGCTCCATTTGACCACGGAACTTGGGGATTTTGTCACCCTCGTCTGATGGTTTGAAGTATAAAAAATACAACATGATTCATCACCCAAAATTGGCGCGATTTTTAGCGCAGCCTGATATCAGCCAGACTGCTTCCATTTTTGCAGTTGGCACCCGAGCACCCCCGCACAATTTGTATAGCTTAACCCACATCCCCTCCATTTCAAACGACAAATTGGGTCTGTCCAAGAATTGGGCATATTCCAAAATTGCAAGTGTTATGGGGAATATATATGGGAGCCGTCCAAAAACCCCAGAAAGGTTTTTAGTAAAGGACCTATTCTCGCATTTTTCCCATGGTCTAAAACCTGCATCGCACAAGTTTCGCGCAAGGGCGGCCCAAGGTACGCGCAAGTACTATTGTTATCATTATTACAAGTACTATTTTAATTATCATTTTGATTACTACTACTACTACGACGACGACGACTACTACTACTACTACTACCACTACCACTACCACTACCACTACTACTACTACTACATTACCACTACTATTACTACTACTACTACAACTACTACTACAACAACTACTACTACTACTACTACTACTCCTACTATTACTACTACTATTACTCTACTACTACTACTACTACCACCACTACCACTACTACCACTACTACCACTACTACCACTACTACTACTACCACTACTACTACCACTACTACTACTACTACTACTACTACTACTACTACTACTACTACTACTACTACCGTATCTGATTTAGATCTTAAATATTCATATCTCGAGTTGATAAACATAGATAACAAGGGTGGTAAATAGGCCATCCAAAGAAAAAGGAGCAGATAGATAGATAGATAAACAGATAGATAGATAGATAGATAGATAGAGATAAAGCAGCCAACGCGGTCCGGAAGACATGCAGCAGCAGTCCGGAGATGGTGAGCAGGAAGGTGTTTCAGAGTGGTTTCAGACCTCTTTTGGGCTTGTTTTTTGGGTACCCCCAGCTTTGGGAGATGAAAAAAGAAAGAGAAAAGGTAGAGAAAGAGAGGGAGAAAGAGAGAGAGAGAGAGACAGAGAGAGGAAGAGGGAAAGAGAGAGAGAGAGATAGAGAGAGAGAGAGAGGAAGATGGAAGATGGAGACAAACAGAAGGCGAGAGAGAGAAAGAGAGACAGAGAGAGGAAGAGGGAGAGGAGAGAGAGAGCGTTGTAAATGGTGAGCAGCGGGGTGTTTCAGAGTGGTTTCAGACCTCTTTTTGTCCGTAGGCTACCTCAGCTTTGGAGAAAAAACAGGAAAGAACGGGAAAAGAAAGAATAGAAGGGAGAAAGAGACAGAGAGAAAGAAGAAGTCTTGAGACGGTGAGCAGGAAGATGTGTCGAACTGGTTTCAGACCTCTTTTGGGGCCGGTTATGGGGCTACCTAGTTCTTAAGACATCTAAAAGAAGGGACTCAAAACAGATTGTACTTGAAACACATGCGGTCCGGAAAGACGTGCAGCGGTCCGGAAAAGCAAGCACCCAAAACGTACTCTGAAACCACCCGCTGCTCACCATTTACAACGCTCTCTCTCTCCTCTCCCTCTTCCTCTCTCTCTGTCTCTCTGTCTCTCTGTCTCTCTGTCTCTCTGTCTCTCTCTCGCCTTCTGTTTGTCTCCATCTCTGTCTCGTGCTATCCTCTTTTCCCGACCGCTGCATGTCTTTCCGGACCGTAATGTCTTAGGTGCTTGCTTTTCCGGACCGCTGCACGTCTTTCCGGACCGCCATATCTACAATTAGAGTACGTTTTGGGTGCTTGCTTTTCCGGACCGCTACAGGTCTTTCCGGACCACAATGGCTACAATTAGAGTACGTTTTGGGTGCTTGCTTTTCCGGACCGCTGCATGTCTTTCCGGACCGTAATGTCTACAATTAGAGTGCGTTTTGGGTGCATTGCTTTTCCGGACCGCTGCACGTCTTTCCGGACCACAATATCTACAATTAGAATACTTTTTGGGTGCTTGCTTTTCCGGACCGTTGCACGTCTTTCCGGACCGCATGTGTTTCAAGTACAATCTGTTTTGAGCCCCTTCTTTTGGATGTCTTAAGAACTAGGTAGCCCCATAACCGGCCCCAAAAGAGGTCTGAAACCAGTTCGACACATCTTCCCGCTCACCGTCTCAAGACTTCTTCTTTCTCTCTGTCTCTTTCTCCCTTCTCTTCTTTCTTTTCCCGTTCTTTCCTGTTTTTTCTCCAAAGCTGAGGTAGCCTACGGACAAAAAGAGGTCTGAAACCACTCTGAAACTCCCTGCTGCTCACCATTTACAACGCTCTCTCTCTCTCTCTCTCCTCTCCCTCTTCCTCTCTCTGTCTCTCTCTCTCTCTCGCCTTCTGTTTGTCTCCATCTTCCATCTTCCTCTCTCTCTCTCTCTCTATCTCTCTCTCTCTCTCTCTTTCCCTCTTCCTCTCTCTGTCTCTCTCTCTCTCTCTCTTTCTCTACCTTTTCTCTTTCCTTTTTCATCTCCCAAAGCTGGGGGTACCCAAAAAACAAGCCCAAAAGAGGTCTGAAACCACTCTGAAACACCTTCCTGCTCACCATCTCCGGGCTGCTGCTGCATGTCTTCCGGACCGCGTTGGCTGCTTTATCTCTATCTATCTATCTATCTGTCTGCTCTTTAAATGTATTTCCTTGTATGTTGTGTTCAAGTCTTTTCTGTCTGTAAATTGTTCTTTTCATCAAGGTCAGCTAGACACCCTGAAGGGGTCTGAAACCACTCTGAAACCGCTCTGAAACCACAGAAGTTCAACACGTGCAGAGCTACTTCCCAGTACTACTTCCCAGTATTACTGTGCACTACAAAGCTTGCACAAAGCTACTTGCACCACTTCCCAGTACTACTGTGTACTACAAAGCTTGCACAAACTACTTCCCAGTACTACTTTGCACTACAAAGCTTGCACAAAGCACTTCCCAGTACTACTTTGTACTACAAAGCTTGCACAAAGCACGTTCCAGTACTACTACTTGTACTACAAAGCTTGCACAAAGCACATTCCAGTACTACTTTGTACTACAAAGCTTGCACAAAGCACTTCCCAGTACTACTTTGCACTACAAAGCTTGCACAAAGCACTTCCCAGTACTACTTTGCACTACAAAGCTTGCACAAAGCACTTCCCAGTACTACTTTGTACCCAGTACTACTGTGTACTACAAAGCTTGCACAAACTACTTCCCAGTACGAAATACTAAGTGAATACTAAATATTTAACATTCGAAAACAAGTACGAGAATAATGATGAAAAACAACTGAAATGATGAAAGTGATCCGGGCGTGTGGTCGCGCAAGAAACGCGCAAGGTTGGCGCAAGCTCGGCCCAAGAGGCCTTTGTGGGAACAGTAATTTAGGACAACCCCCATATACTTTTCTCATCTTTTCTCATCTTTTCTCATCTTTTCTCAACGATGCGACTCTGGGGATTTTCTCAAACACTTAGACAACTCCATTTGAGATGGGCCACATCTTTTTCGACCTCGAACTTCATGATAGTACACACATCTAAAAACCAAATTGATGATAACTTCATTTATAGTAAACACATGATTCTCACATGATAATAGTAACTGGGCAGCACAAAAAAACAGCCTGGGCTGTTACCCGTTGCTTCTTCTCCTAGGTCTATGCGGAGTACCAGCTGCGCGAGAAGAAGTCCTTCTGGGGCTACGACGTCAGCGTTCACAACCACGCGGAGGAAGTGGCGGCGCCGCACAAGGTGCACGACAGCGGCAAGACGCTCTGTGCAAAGGCGGGGGACGCTGGGATGGGGATGATTTTGAGGGGGTTTCCATGGTCATGGGGTGGGGAAATCCCCGGAATATATCGCTGGATGGTTGATTTATTTCATGAAAAATCCTGTTTCTGTAATTTGTTTCATGGAAAATCCTGGTTTATTATGGGTTATTTCATGGAGAACTGGGGGGTACCCCCATGACTTAGGAAAGCCTATGGCGAGATGTGATATGACCTCTGCTCATTACCTTAAGAGAGAGTAGCAGATATGCTTCTTTATGTATTGCGTATTGAAGCTACACCTCCCTCCAAAAAAAACACTACTTATTAACAGTCACTTCTTATCTCCAAAACCCAGTGATGGGTAGTGAATTTGATTGCATCCGATCGGCGTGACATACCGAAATCGAGGCACATGGAACCTGTTGGAACCTGTTGGGACTAAAGGAAGGAGTTGGATGGGGTTTGATGTGAGTAGCTGCTGAATTTTTGGATGGTGCCATTTGGATTCGTTCGAAAACAGAGTTAGATGATAAGGTCTCCTCTTCTCTGCTGAGCTTGTAAGAATTTCAGGGCCGGTACCCCCCAGGTTTGGACTTACCCAAATATCATATCAAGTTGGATGTTATTTTATATTGTTGGCCAGATCCCTATTATATCCCCACTTAAAGGTGAATTTACCACAATATATCCCATCACAACACGATTTCAGACCTTTAACCGTTAAGCCCATATTTTTCATAGTCAAGCTCCACCATGTTTAACTCATAGAATTGGATGATGGGAAAATTTACAGGAAACCCCTATATTTGATGGTAAAACCATGGTTTCCTGTAGATTTTCACTTAAACCAATCCATTGATTAACGGTAGTTTCCCCCTTTGCCACCTGAGATCATGGTAAAAATCACCCGACTAAACACCGACAGGTGGTGGACAAGGCGCGTGGGAAGTTGGAGGTGGCGCCCTGCTTTCTGCCCACCGTGGCGGCGGGACCTTACTGGGTCTTGGATTACAGCGAAGAGGAGGGCTATGCCTTGATCTCAGGCGCCTGGAGGTTTGTGTTTTCAGCCATTTTTCTGTGTTTTCTTGGATGGTTCGACAATGTTCGACAGATATGTGCTTTTGTTGGTTCGACAGATATTAGTGCCCTCTGGTCAAATGCTAACATAACCATGGAAAATCACCATCTTTAATAGGTAAATCAACTATAAATGGGCCATGTTTAATAGCTATGTTAAATTACCACAGGGCGTCTTTGTGATTATACAACTTAGGAAAATAGCCAAACTTATGTTAAGTTTTGGGTATGACATTATATATTATATCGTATTTGTGTATTGCTGTGTTCTGTTTTGCTGTAATGTAGCTGTTGTAGTGTGGTGCATGGCATGGTATGGCATGGCATCAGATTGTGTTGTAAGTTGTATGTCATGGTATTGCATTATACAAGTTTCTTTTTCAATCATTGCATGTGTGTAAACTATTTCTCGTTGATATAATATATATATTATGTCTATGTTATATTTGTTGTATTGTTATATTGTATTATATTGTGCGATATTAGTTTTTTTGGCTATCACATAATATTACATCGTATCATTTTGTATTGCATTCCAGATATAATCTGCTCTCCCTATTACTAAAACGCTCCCCAAATGGTAAACATGGTGATCTATTTTTATTATTAGGGTGTATTTTGTTTTAGGGTGCCCCTAATATTCCAATGAAAACCCTAATGAAAAAAATGAAAAACAATTTCAAATTTGATTCAATCCCTTTTTAAAATCTATTTACGATATTGCCAAAAACTGGAGTTCGAAGCTTTCCCCTCATATTCCAATGAAAACCTTAATAATAAAAATTAACAATTAAGTTTGTGAGATGGGACCCTAATAAACAACTCCAGGTGGCAATCTATTTTTATTGACGGGGTTGAACCCATTGTTTCACCATCTTGTTCTCCTAGTGATTCTCAAACACCACAATTTACAATCCAATTGTGCCCAACAAAAAAAATATATTTGGGGGAGTTTTAGTAATACGAAGAAGGGATGACTTCTTTATGGGTATTTTTTTGGGCCCTCCAAAATGACGTTTCAGATCTTGCAAAATGGTCAACCCGGAAAACGAATAATGTTGACAGATGTTCAGATACCCTCTGGTAATTTATAACATAGCTATTGAAAATGGCCATAGAAATAGTGAGTTTTCCCATTCAAAATGGTGATTTTCCATAATTATGTAAACGTTTACCAGAGGGTATTTGGGCAGAGGAAACAGATTGATATTTTCCGCCTTGCCATTCCCCATGGCTGTCCAAACTGCGACCCCGAAACTTACCCGTTGCTCCAAGGAAACTCAACCAGTCATCACCAGTCTGACTCTGAAAGTATCAACCGCCTATGATTTAGAAGGCTTAAATTCACCATATACAATGATTATGCTTATCCATTACCCATCAGTATCACTATGTATCATCCATTAGATGGAAAAACAGGGTTATCCATTATCCAGTATACCATAATTATCATGATTACCATCTGGTTATTTAACACAGCCATGGAAAATCACCATTTTTAATAGGTAAACCATCTATAAATGGGCAATTTTCCATGGCTATGTTACATAACCAGAGGGCATCCGTTACAAGTTTTGGGTTCCCAAATTTCAACCCATCCCCCCACACACTCACCGGCGCACGGTGAGGCGGCGCCCCCAAGGAATCCGCCGGCGACGCGGGGTGCCGCACAGGTACCGGCACCAACGGCGCGGGCTTGTGGATCTTCACACGGCAACAGAAGAGGGATGAGGCCAGGGATGTTCTGAGTGTATCGTTTTTATCCAAAAACTCTGTGGGAATAGATACCCTCTGGTAAACGTTTACATAGCTATGGAAAATCACCATTTTCAATGGGTAAATCCACTATAAATGGTCATTTTCAATAGCTATGTTAAATTACCAGAGGGTACTTATAAGTACATTGTATGAATCATGTTATGAATTTATTCATGTTTCATCATGTTTCACTCGACTCATAGATTTTTATATATTTACTCTGTATAGTGGGATGATGTGGAAGGTCCCAGATGTCAGATTTTTCGGTTGTCCAGAAGTGGAGGTGATGGGCCGGTGATTGGCCCCTCATTTTATGGTGATTTCATGGTAAAAACCGATGGATTTGGCGGTACCCTGTTTTTGGACAAACCAGTTGGCTGTGTTTTAAGACTAACTTGCCATCATAGGTTTCAGGTTGAACACAGACCCAGATCTACTCAATGGGATGGATAATTGTATGTAAAGATGCATGTATCATTTACATTTGCGTAGTACATTTGTATTTATAGATATATAGACACTTTTAACCTTTTCGCCCAACATTTGTTTTCTGGATATTCATCCCAGTAACAGGTGGAATGGATCATACAATCATGGTGAACCCATCATGGGAATTCCTGGGTGATATAAGGCGGCCGTAGATACAAATGGACGTATGAACACATATAGTTACACTACACATTCTAGGATCATTATATGTTTCATTATCTGTGCACATTTTCTGATAATAGTAATTACATATTCTGGTACATAGTGATCATAGTAATTACATTTTCTGAAAATAGTAATCAAAAAACTATATATTGAATCTAGTAGCGACATGATTTTCCAAATTCCTAGACGGTTGAGTGCTGTATATTACTGTCCCCATTTGATCCCGTTTGGTTACGTTTGTTCTAGACGATTGAACACACACATATAGATATAGGTATATATTGTATACATATATGTCTGGCATATGCATTTTGATCTACTGTAGATAAATGTTAACATAGTATATATATATTAATAAGCATGTAGATATATGTATGTGATATATGTATATACTCCATCTAGGAAGCTTGGGAGGATCATGCTCCATGGCCCAGGCCTTGGTACAGAAGGTTCGAAGCATCGCCAAGAGCAAGGCCGGGCCTCGGACGATGAATGGGAAACTTCGGTATTTTTCGCAACCCGGGGTGAAGTGAATGATGTGAAACATGTTGTTAGATCTTAAGTATCAAGAAAAATATGGGCTAATTTCATCTAATTTCTTGTTGGACATTGTTGAATATTGTTGCAATGCTTGGCTTTTTTGGAAGTGCCGTTTAGCTGTCCTGTCAAGCTGGCTGAGTCATGGCAGCGAGCATGTTGTTTGCTGACACATCCACCCCGGACAAGAAATGCAGGTCTTTTGACACCAGTGTTTAATATATCTGGGGAAATTATAACGACCTCACTGCGACCGAACCCTGGAATCATGGTTTTTATATGGGAAATCATCCCCAAATGGCCGAACAATTCAGGTTAGTGAAATATTATAATTTACCCAGATATATGTTTCATCCACAAAGAAATAAGTTTCTTGGCCCATGGCAAAAGTAAAATTATTGTATTTTTCTAGTGCATGTATTTACACACAGCAGTCCCCAAAAAGATAGAGAAGTAGAATCCACATCCAACATTTAGGGGGTCTTATTCATTATTACTATTAAATTGTTATTATTGCTATTATTCAAATTCATCTTCCATTTTTTCTAAACAAAAGGGTATCACATGGGTATCACTAAAAAGAGGCTGTGACGGGCACAGGGCTTTGACTTGTCCGTGCTGAACGATGTGGACCAGAGCGAGTGCAGCGAGGCCGCTTCGCGGCGAAGCGAAGCGAAGCGAAGCGACTGCCCCCAGATTTCTGCGGGGTTCACATGGAAACCGGTCGGTTTATTTACCCTCTGGTTATTTAACATAGCCATGGAAAATGGCCCATTTATAGATGGTTTACCTATTAATAGCATGATGGATCTTTCCATGGCTATGTTAGTCATAACCAGATGGTAATAGGGATATACCATTTGTGAAACTAACATAGCTATGGAAAATCTCCAGATTGATTGGTTGTTCACCTGATTTCCATCTGTTAGTTTCTAACAGCGCGCTATGGAAGATCCCCCATTGATCGAGTAGCTATAGCTATATAAAAAAAAAAAACAGATTTTCCACAGGTTAGTTTGCCAGAGGGTATATAACATAACTCACCAACTGGATAACCCAACACATAGAGTTTATAAAACGGGTATATATGGGACATCTCCAACACATCTGGGTTTTCACTGGGGTTTATAATGTTTATAATGGGGAGATATGGGTTTAATGGTCTAATAATCTACTGTGGATATTCAGTGGGATATTTCATGGGATTCATTCAATTTTTTAGGATTTCCCCTTGTGTCCAACACATAGATGATTTAGATTAATTAGGGTCAATAATCGGATATTTCATGGGAAATTCGTTTATGACTGTGGATGCAATATGGATATCTAATGGGAATACAACTAACATCAACTAACCACATTGACACTATAATTTTTGGGGTTTGCTCAGTGAAAATGGGGTATACCCCCAATTTCACTGTAGCAATTTCACGGGGAAAATTATGATTTACCATCAGATTTGGAGATGCCTCTTTTCAGACAATCCCACTTCAACCAACAAACACTGGGATTTAACCAAGAAAAGTGGATGTTTTTGAAGTAATGGGGGACCCCATCATCAAAGTTATTGATCCTTTTTGATAAGGGGAAACCAATGGTTTTGGGGTACAGTGCACCCGATTTCAGAATCATCCATATCTTATGAATGTGGTCAAGGAAACAATACTTCAATGATATCTTCAATTCGTGCCAAAATTATGCTGAATTCAATAACCTTGAAGTGTTTGGAATACAGATTCAAAGGCCTCAATGGTGAAATTAGACATCGTTTGCTGACCAGTATTCCACCATGGCAAGACGGACCGCCTTCTAGTTATGAGCCAAAAAGGCTCTAGGAGATTGTAGCCCTGCCCACATACCCTAGAGTTACCGAGGATATACCACAACCACCACTCTCCTGACTTGGCTTTGTGGGTATCGCTCAACCCTCTGCAGGCTGTGGCCCTTGCCATTTGAGCCCGTGGGATCCGCGGGTGCTCGCGCAGAACAGCATGCAGCGCGGGCCACTGGGCCCTTCCAAGGATTTTTCGGACTCTGGCCACTTGGGCCGAGCAGTCCTCCACAGCTTTTGCAGCTTCAGGATGTGATTGTTTGACTCCGTGATGGATCAAAAGTGATCAAAAAGGGCGGAAAAGCGGGAAAAGGTGGGGTGTGATTTGTTCTTTCACGCTGTCGGGTCAAAAGCTATAATATGACAAGCTCTGCATATCAAACAAAGAATTGAATACATAATATATAATATATATATATTAATATATATTATGATGTAAAAATGCTGGGAGTTTTGAGTGGCAATTGTGTTGAGCAGTTACACGTTTTCTCGCGGTCGACTGCCAGGCGTTTCAAAATGGGGAAATTCGCTAGGGAGCGACTACAGATATTTGAAGCAACTGTGAGTTTGCACCAAAAAATGCTTTTTGACCCTACAAAAGCGGGACTATAGACGAATGACTTTCAAACGAAAACTGCTATGTTTTCATTGATCAAAGGAACGGGGGAAAGCAACTTTTTCATTCAGCTATTCGTCCATCATTGATCATCATTGACCGTATGTGAGATTACCAGAGGGTAAATCCAGGGTAAACGCCCAAAATTCGAGTATATAATCTATACCCTTTCTATCCCCATATACCCATTATATCTCCATTCTATCCCATGAGCTTCCAACTATATCTTCATTTTCCGTTGGGGTATACAGTTATATACAGTTATATACAGTTACATACAGTTATATACAGTTATATACAGTTATATACAGTTATATATACCCCATTCATTTCCCTATCCCATCCCCATCCAAACCACCTCCAAAGGGGGGCCCATGGCTCGCCGCCATGTCGCAGGTCCTGGTGGAGCCACCATCAACGACATCCGGCAGAAAGCTGGAAGCCGCTCGGCTCAGGAAAGCCCCAAATCCCATGGATGATCATGGATTAAAATGGCAATTGGATCAATACCTATAGATACACTTTATTAGGGGGATGAACATCCATTTACGAGCTATTTTGATGTTCACCAGGGGTACAAGGTTTTGACCCACTGCCAAATGGCAATTGGGTTGAATCACCATCGATCACCCATTTTTGGATATGTTTGGAGCATGGGGGCAAAGATGGGCAAAGCAACCAAGACGACTTCAGTTGGACTGGTGCAAGTTCGCTCCATCTTTGCGCCACACACACAGCGTACCTCTGGGCAAGCCAAGCAGTTAATGGGGGGTAGAAAGTGTATGTATATAGAATAACGAACTTAACGCACAAGATAATATGGCTTGATGCCGAACTGAGGGAATTGGGGGTCAGTAATCACCATATTTTCAGGCAACCCTATATCTTGCATCATCGCAATTTTTTCGTTTGACCAGAAATGATGGTGTACCCCAAAAGTCCTAAGTTGGCATGTCATCCTCTTGTAAATGGGACGACCGTTGGAGAACCTATCAACTAGTCAAGCCCTTGAATCAGGCACAAAGTTGGATTCGGCGATGATAGGATAGTGATACGGAGCCCTAGAATTGTGTGGGTATCATGGGAATCCTTCTTTTCCCAGAGCTGCCGATCTTTTTTGAATCTTTCGTCTCCTCTTCTCCGCGCCATCACTTTCGTTTGCTACTTCTCTGAGCTAGTTCCTCTCTAAGCTAGCAGCTACCTCTTCTCTAAGCAACCTCGCCTCCGAGCTGCTTCTTCTCTGAGCTACCCCATCACTGCGCTACTGCTTCTTCTCTTTGCTACTCCTTCTTCTCTCACCCAACTCTTCCCTGAGCCAACTCTTCTCCCAGCTCCTTAGCCAGTTACTTCTTCTCTCACCTAACTCTTCCCCACTTACTTCTTCCAATGCACCGAACCCATAAACCTAAATCTGACTATCGCTTGAAATCTTCGGAACCCAGAAGGGGCCCCATGCCCCTGGTCCCTGCCCATCTCCATGTCCCTGGGTCATAACCCTAAAGGTATATGATGGTGCTAACCCTATAGGTAAAAAACGGTAAAACAGCTTCCAAAGTGATCCCGGTCCCCTCATGTCTCCGCCAGTCTTTTCTGAATGGAATGCGTCTTGCAACTTCCAGTTGCAATCCTGAATAGCACGAGGGACGCAGACTAACAATCTTCCGCGCAGCCGTTGCAATGCGTTGAGCAACCACCGGTTTTTGCATTTTTGGGGCAGCTTTCCTGGACCAGCCTTCCTTTCACGTCGCTAGCTGATTGTCTCCCTGATATGATAATGAATCCAGCAGGCTATTGTGTTAGCTAGCGAACCAGTGATGCTTTCCGTATTGAAGTATTGCAACTGTGTTCACTTAGTGACTTGAACCTTCTAAACGTTTTTTGATATCTTTTGAATTATTTTGAAAACCTGAGATGATCCCACTTAGATTCTAGAAGCATGTATTAGCCCCACTTACTAAGTTCATCTAAGTTCTATTGGCCCAAGTTTTAAAGCATTCTAACCATCCTTTAAATATGACGCCTTGGCTTGCACCGGCCACAGCGAGGCCAAGTGAACATCTCTGTGCTGTTGGGGGCCCCGAGACTGGGAGCTGGGAGCTGGTTGAGGTGCTTCGGGTTTGATAAATTTCCATCTATTTGGGTATGTCTGAAAATGGGGTATACCCCCAATTATAGCCATTTAGTAGGGATAATGATCATTAACCATTGGGTGTAGGGGTACACTATTTTCAGACAAACCCATTTCCATTGTTTTCGTTCGTTGTCCACTTTGAAACTTGGGACTTGAAAGTTTGCCAAGTTGTTCCAAATGAATCCTTCCATGTTTCCACCCGAGAACAGTCTCGGCGATCCAGCTGCAGGGTCGGCCCAAAGTAGGAAGATCTTTCCCCGGTCTCGCCGTTTGCAGACTCGTGGCCATGTTGGGTGCTACAGACAAAAACTATATGGGCAGAATCTTCATGAAACCTCTTGCAAAGTCACGGGGTCAAAACGCAGAGCTTTATATCAACATTGGCGACTCAATTCTTGATCAGTTGCGATGATGATTTCTTGTTCTTTTTGGGGGTTATGAATGTTATGAGTTTCAGCTCCAAGAAAGGTGGGGATAATTACCAAATGCGTACCGAAGTGTTCTCGTTCATCTCTGGGGGTTGAGGGTTGAGCATTGTTCGCTGTACGTTGCTTCTGGGTTCGCAGCAGTCTGCAATGTGACAGGTGTAATCCTTTTGCGTTGTCACATGTTGTCACGATTTTGTCTTTGTTGTCGCAGGCGCAGTACCTGAGAAAGCTTAAGGTTCATTTTACATGGAGTGCGCAGGAGTGTTTACGAGAATCGCATTGGAATTGGTGCGCAAAGGAGTCACAAAATGCAAAAAAAATGGTGGCGTTGGACCATTGGAGGGGTAATGCATACAGTAATGGCAAGATCTGTTTGTGGCAAGAGAAGGACTGTGTTGCCGCGTCACAGGAGCGTGTCAGACGAGTGTCATAGGGTGCGGTGCAGGAGCATCCAGATGTGTCCCAAGAGTGGGAGAGTGTCTTTCAAGGTCTTTCAAGACTGTCCTACAAAAAGTGCCCCTCTCTTACAAAATTAAAAACATTTGGCAAGAGTGTCTCAAACTAATTGTGACTTAAATTACAGTGACTATCTTCAGAGACCCTCTCAAAACTAATGTCTTCGAAGAGCGTGTTTAGAAAGGAGTGTCTCCACAAAGGTGTCCAACGAGAGTTGCCGCACTGGAGTGTCACTGAAAATGGAGTGGCACGGCTATATCATGCTATATCACTGTATCCCAACCATGTTTTTCTGAAAGAAATTGAAAGAGCCTAACAGCACCAGCTCCACATGGAAACCATGGGTTTTTGCAGCACCAGGTCTTCACAGTACTGGCAATCAACGTTTTCCTCCGTATGATGCCCGCTTGGCAGTGGCATGTTCCGAAGATCAGTACAACGAGCTCATGAATGCTCTGCAAGAGTACATGGACCAGAACTCCTGCACTTCGGATTGCCAAACCTGGGCTCAAATATGTGGCGTTTTCACGTTGTGCATTCCTCTCTGCGCGGCGAATTGGTGGGTGTCGAACTACACCTCCCGGTTGAAGGACATCACCAAAGCAAAGACAAAGACCTGGTCGTGCGAAGCTCGGATTCAACTCATGAACAAGGACGAGACACGACGCGCTTCCATGGTCCCTGAGCAAACGGCCTATGATCAACATGGCCAGCCCCTGATCGTAACGAATCTGCATGGCAGCGCCCCGGAGTGGCCTCCCCTGGGCTACAACGTCATCCTGGTGTTGCCCATGAAACTTGGCTTTGTTGAGTCGGTGAATATGAGTGATCTGTTCATTTGCCCAAAGGGGAAATCCACCAATCTGCTGGGAATATTCCATGATATTCTATATATTTCTATATGATTATCAATTTGTAATAAGCCCTTATCAGTATCCTCATGTATCCTTATAAGGGAGATATACCCTCTGGTTATTTAACATAGCCATGGAAAATCCCTTATAAATGGAGGTTTTAATGGGAAAATCATCTATAAATGGGCCATTTTCCATGGCTATGTTAAATAACCAGAGGGTATTTGATTCGTTTGGGGCACTTTCAGCAAATCGCTCTTAGGAAGGCGGAGGACTGGGCGCAGCAATGGATCCCATCGCAGCCGATGATCGGCATGCCACAGCAGGAAGCCATGAATCAGACATGAATGCCGAAGCGTCTCATCAAAGATGGACCATATGGACTTGCTGAATTTCAGGCAAAAAAGATCAAAAAAGCCAGGATATTTCAGGCCCTTGTCTGAAGAGAACTAGAACTCCGAAGTCCTATCATCTTCCAGGTACCCTTTGGTAATTTAACATAGCTATGGAAAATCACCATGATTAATGGGAAAATCCACTACCAGTAGTACCCGCACGAGGCGGGGCGGAAGTTGCCTTAAAGATATATAAAAGACCTTTCTCATCTATAGAACTTGCATGCGCCGTGCGCCAGCCAAGCCCGTGCGTGCGTGCACTCTGCGAAACTGGTGTCTTGTTTTACATGTCACATTTGAAGCTCTTCTTCACACTTCACACTTGACAGTCTTCACACTCCACACTACACTCTTCACACTGCACTCTTCACACTGCACTCTTCGCACTTCACACTCCACACTCTTCACACTTCACACTGCACTCTTCGCACTCCACACTTCACACTTCACACTGCGCACTTGACAGTCCACACTTCACACTTCACACTCCACACTTCACACTTCACACTCCACACTTCACACTTCACAGTCCACACTTCACACTTCACACTTCACACTCCACATTTCATCTCATCTGAGCTCTTCTCACCTTATCCCAGCTCATCTCTTCTCATCTCATCTCTTCTCATATGTCACCTAAACTTTCATGAATCACTTCCCAGTACTACTACTAAGGAACTTGCATGCGCCGTGCGCCAGCCAGGCCCGTGCGTGCGTGCTTTGTGCGAAGCTGTTGCTGTGTTGCTGTCCAAAAACATGACCTGCGCGCGACCCCGGTACAATGCAAACATTTTCCCCACACTTCACATTGCACTCTTCACACCCCACACTCCACACTTCACACTTGCACTTCATCTCAACTCATCTCATCTGAGCTCTTCTCATCTCATTCCATGTCTTCCCATATGTCAGCTAAGTTCTTCTTGGCTATTTTTATGTCAAGTACTTCCCAGTACTGATGTCTACTACAAAAGCTTGCAGCTTGCAAAAACCACTTCCCAGTACTACTTTCTACTACAAAGCTTGCACAAAACACTTCCCAGTATTACTTTGTACTACAAAGCTTGCACAAAGCACTCCCCAGTACTACTTTGTACTACAAAGCTTGCACAAACTACTTCCCAGTACTACTTTGTACTACAAAGCTTGCACAAAACACGTTCCAGTACTACTTTGTACTACAAAGCTTCTACACACATCAAGGTCTTTCGCAGAGAAGCTTTTACACACAGCAAGCTTTTCAAGCAGAGAAGCTTTTACACACAGAAGCTTTTACACACAACAAGCTTCTTCACAGAGAAGCTTTCACACACAGCAAGCGTTTACACACAGAACGCTTACACACAGTGCTTTTACACATGGCAAGCGTTTACACACAAAAACTTTTGCACAGAGACGCTTTTACACACAGAGAGGCTTTTACACACAGCAAGCTTTTACACGCAAAATCTTTTTCACACAGCAAGCTTTCAAACACAGCAAGCGTTTACACACAGAACACTTACACACAGTGCTTTTACACATGGCAAGCGTTTACACAGAAGCTTTTTAAACAGAGAAGCTTTTACACACAACAAGCTTTTACACAGAGAAGCTTTACACAGCAAGCTTTCACACACAGCAAGCTTCTTCACAGAGAAGCTTTTACACACAGCAAGCTTTCACACACAGCAAGCGTTTACACACAGAAGACTTACACACAGTGCTTTTACACATGGCAAGCGTTTACACACACAGCAAGCTTTTTAAACAGAGAAGCTTTTACACACAACAAGCTTTTACACAGAGAAGCTTTTACACACAGCAAGCTTTCACACACAGCAAGCGTTTACACACAGAACCCTTACGCACAGTGCTTTTACACATGGCAAGCGTTTACACACACAGAAACTTTTACACAGAGACGCTTTTACACACAGAGAAGCTTTTACACACAGCAAGCTTTTACAGAAACAGTTTTTGCACAGAGAAGCTTTCTTGTACATAATCACAACAGGAATTGCAGCTCCAAAACTGAATCTCGACGCCAAAGCGACAAAAAGACGATTTTGAAACACTTTTTAAAAAGGAATTTTAAAAGGAAAATTATTAGCGCCAAAATTGAGAAAATCTGCTGACAAATCACTTTCGCAGCCTTGATGCAGCCATTCCAATACGATTTACGATCTTCAGCTGCAAAAGACAATAGTATTACGCATGCAGCCGCTGCACCAAGCAACCTTGACGCAGCCACTACAATGCGATCTGCAGAGACTGAGTTGCAAAACACAATAGAACTACGTGCAATGGCGTCGGAAATTGCAGCTCCAAAACCGGATCTCGACGCCAAAGCGAAAAAAAGACGATTTTGAAGCACTTTTTAAAAGGAATTTTAAAAGGAAAATTATTAGCGCCAAAATTGAGAAAATCTGCTGACAAATCACTTTCGCAGCCTTGATGCAGCCATTCCAATACGATTTACGATCTTCAGCTGCAAAAGACAATAGTATTACGCATGCAGCCGCTGCACCAAGCAACCTTGACGCAGCCACTCCAATGCGATCTGCAGAGACTGAGTTGCAAAACACAATAGAACTACGTGCAATGGCGTCGGAAATTGCAGCTCCAAAACCGGATCTCGACGCCAAAGTGAAAAAAAGACGATTTTGAAGCACTTTTTAAAAGGAATTTTAAAAGGAAAATTATTAGCGCCAAAATTGGGAAAATCTGCTGACAAATGACTTTCGCAGCCTTGATGCAGCCACTCCAATACGATTTACAATCTTCAGCTGCAAAAGACAATAGTATTACGCATGCAGCCGCGGCGGCAAGCAACCTTGACGCAGCCATCCAATGCGATCTGCAGAGGCTGAGTTGCAAAACACAATAGAACTATGCGCAATGGCGTCGGAAATTGCAGCTCCAAAACCGGATCTCGACGCCAAAGCGACAAAAAGACGATTTTGAGGCACTTTTTAAAAGGAATTTTAAAAGGAAAATTATTAGCGCCAAAATTGGGAAAATCTGCTGACAAATGACTATCGCAGCCTGGATGCAGCCACTCCAATACGATTTACAATTTTCAGCTGCAAAAGACAATAGTATTACGCATGCAGCCGCTGCACCAAGCAACCTTGACGCAGCCACTCCAATGCGATCTGCAGAGACTGAGTTGCAAAACCGGAGATTCCAAAACACCCTATAACTACGCACACACAAGCACACCCAAAGCAGCTTGAAGCCACCGCGGCAAAAAAAAAACGATAAACCGACCGCAGCCGCAACCGTCGCACACACGAGGTACCTTTCATCGTCACCTGCAGCCACTTTACACGGAAAAACACAAGGTTTCGTGCTCCGGCTGCCTCCCCAAAACAGAGCCCATGCAACATCATGCAGCCATTCCAATGGGATCTGCAACCACAGATTCCAAAACACCCTATAACTACGCACACACAACCACACCCAAAACAGCTTGAAGCCACCGTGACACTGCGGCAAAAAAAAACGATAAACCGACCGCAGCCGCAACCGTCGCACACACGAGGTACCTTTCATCGTCGCCTGCAGCCACTTTACACGGAAAAACACAAGGTGTCGTTGCTTCAGGCTTCCTCCCCAAAAAACAGAGCCCATGCAACATCATGCAGCCCATTCCAATGAGATCTGGCAACCCAACAGATTCCAAAACACCCTATAACTACTAAACAACAAGCACACCCAAAGCAGCTTGAACCACCGTGACACTGCGGCAAAAAAAAAAGGATTCAACGACCGCAGCCCGCAACCGTCGCATAGCACGAGCATTGCGGTACATTTCATCGTCGCCTGCGCCACTTTAAACGGAAAAAAACAAGGGTTTCGTGCTCCGGCGCCTCCCCAAAACAGAGCCCATGCAAACATATGCAGCCACTCCAATGCGATCTGCAAGCACAGATTCCAAAACACCCTATAACTACGCACACACAAGCACACCCAAAGCAGCTTGAAGCCACCGTGACACTGCGGCAAAAAAAAACGATAAACCGACCGCAGCCGCAACCGTCGCACACACGAGGTACCTTTCATCGTCGCCTGCAGCCACTTTACACGGAAAAACACAAGGTTTCGTGCTCCGGCTTCCTCCCCAAAACATAGCCCATGCAAGATCATGCAGCCATTCCAATGCGATCTGCAACCACAGATTCCAAAACACCCTATAACTACGCACACACAAGCACACCCAAAGCAGCTTGAAGCCACCGTGACACTGCGGCAAAAAAAAAACGATAAACCGACCGCAGCCGCAACCGTCGCACACACGAGGTACCTTTCATCGTCGCCTGCAGCCACTTTACACGGAAAAACACAAGGTTTCGTGCTCCGGCTTCCTCCCCAAAACATAGCCCATGCAACATCATGCAGCCATTCCAATGGGATCTGCAACCACAGATTCCAAAACACCCTATAACTACGCACACACAACCACACCCAAAGCAGCTTGAAGCCACCGTGACACTGCGGCAAAAAAAAAACGATAAACCGACCGCAGCCGCAACCGTCGCACACACGAGGTACCTTTCATCGTCGCCTGCAGCCACTTTACACGGAAAAACACAAGGTTTCGTGCTCCGGCTTCCTCCCCAAAACATAGCCCATGCAACATCATGCAGCCATTCCAATGCGATCTGCAACCACAGATTCCAAAACACCCTATAACTACGCACACACAAGCACACCCAAAGCAGCTTGAAGCCACCGTGACACTGCGGCAAAAAAAAAACCGATCAACCGACCGCAGCCGCAACCGTCGCACGCACGAGGTACCTTTCATCGTCGCCTGCAGCCACTTCACACGGAAAAACACAAGGTTTCGTGCTCCGGCTGCCTCCCCAAAACATAGCCCATGCAACATCATGCAGCCATTCCAATGGGATCTGCAAGCACAGATTCCAAAACACCCTATAACTACGCACACACAACCACACCCAAAG